GTCTCTCTCTCTCTCTCTCTCTCTCTCTCTCTCTCTAATCGGCATGTAATTTTATACGTCGTCTTCAGGCATGCCCGTGATGATGCACGTGTTTTTATTTTTTACCGTAGCTGCTTTCGTGGTCAATGTAATATTTCAGATGCACCCCTACATATATGAGGCAAATCGGAATGGCCTATGGTTTTGAATAGCGGGCCGTGCTGATTTCCTTCATGCAGACGTAAGGTGTGTCGATAATTAGAAACAGCAGTGCGCCTCGCGTTGTGTATGTATCGGGGTAAATTTCAAATGTGTTCGAAGTTAAAAAATATGGTTGTGTCGGTTGTATTTCTCTGTAATTGGGCACGTGATGTGCCATTATGTCCGTGACGATGTACGTTTTTTTACCGTAGCAGTTTTCATATTGAAGTAAATGTATATTTTAGAAACACCCCTATTTCTATAATCGTGTGGATAGGCCTAGCTGTTTGGTAGGCGAGGTGCTGTATTGTACAGTAAGCAGATATTGGGTGGTTTTTGTGTACTCGTTGGCGAGTATCTTTTTGGATATTGTGACTTATAGTTTGCACCTACTACGACATCTTATAAAATAAATGACATTTTTAACACCTGTTTATTGATTCATCGTAAAAAAAAGTTCAAGTACATGGCAGCGCTGCCAATTGCCAAGGGCGCTGAATTGTATACTTAAATTGTGTTATATGCAGTAAATGAAAGATATTGTTATGGAAGATGAGCTTGTTCATCTGTTTAGTAATTTGTCGTAGTTGTTGATCTTATGTAACTTGTATTTGTATAAACTCTAGGCCAGGTGTTTATGACCCCAAGGGGTGGGGGCGGGGGTGGCGGCCACCACGAGCGCGATCTTATGTAGGGATTTAGCCATTTTTACGACATGTTGCTACCAGTTGTGAAGTGCTCACACACTGTTTATATACCCTATACTGTTCCCTATCTGCAAAATATAAAAGTTCACGCAGAATTGTGGCCTATGACTACTTAATATTTAAGAGTTATTTTAATGTTCTTGATTATCCTTCTCTTGGCTTATAGAACAAATAAACGGTTTGTTTGAAAGACCTAGTTTGATCAATGATACAGAATTTATAGCACATTAGAGAACGAAGTATAAAGTAGGCGATATCTTGAAAACAACATGGTAATCATTTTGTAAACTAGTCTATCGTATCAGTGAGGTATCAGACGTGGTGACAGAAATGTGATATCATTTTAGGGTGACATCACAGGTATCACCGAAGCACAAACATCATAAGCGATTCAGGTTCAAACCTTTTATTATTGTCATCTATAGCTACTAAGTCTGCTAATAGCATAGCACAGCACTAAGCTGAAGAGATGCCGAAGGAAGAGTTCGATGCGTTGGACGCGACGCTATTTTCCGTCTCGTAAACGGTCGGTGCCATTGGAAACGGTCGATGCCATATCGCAGAAGGGCTGACTTTAAGTGTATCAGCACGGTCCAAGCACACCGTGATGTTTCGTGGCGTAGAGGTTAGGGTATGAGTTAGGGTGAGGGTTTTGGAGTTACACTTTTGGACCCGGGTTCGAATCCGAGCTTGTGCTTTTTTTTCACAAATATTTACAATTCTACATAACCCTCCCTTATATTTGCAATTAGAATATTGTTTTTTATAGTATATAGTATTATATTTTTAGTCGTTTTTGGACGCTCGGATATGACATTGACCATTCAGCAAAATGGCATCGACCGTTTACGAGACGGAAAATAGCGGAGGCGACTCGTCTGAAGTTCTCTTTCCTTGTGCAGGGTCGCGTCACTATATGGACAAAGGAATATGTCGCTGTGAAAAAATTAAGTTACATATGCCCTAACAGCAAACTTGAGGCACAATTGCTCGTATTTGGTGACAAGTATTGACAGTTTAAGGTGTTCCATTGCAAACAAATAACCGGTGAAGTAGCTATCCATGATGATAAGACAGGCTCTTTCCAATATTTGTTCATGTTAATTGAGATATATAAGCATATACAAGGTCAGGTATTAATAAAGAAGATTATAGAAGATTCTTTATTGACACAACAAAAAAGTACAGAGACTTTTGTATGGTCTTCTACAACTTAACTAAAGATCTAACAAAGCTACATACATGTGTGGATAACGTCATCTTACGTACAGAGTATATGTATGATGTAACAATAAAGGTTAACTATTCTCTAACATGTGGTCTCTAAGATCGAAACATTCTTTAATGTATTTTCCTATTTGGACACTGTATTGGTTATCTCCCCTGAGAATGTAGTTGAATTTATCTATAGCATCTAACGTATTGAAATCAATTGAACAAGCGGAAAGAAAGGTGAACAGCAATAGGCGCTTATCATTGTATAGTGTACAATCCATTATAAAATGGTGCTCATTTTCAATCATGTTTGGACAAAATGGACAGAACCTTTGGTCATTTGGTATTTTCTTGTATCGACCCATTTCTATGTTTAATTTATGACAACTAATTCTTAATTTTGTGATCGCTTTTCGGATATCTAGATTGTGTATACTTGAGAGGTATTGTTTTTGTCCATAATTTTCCTTTAATGCGG